TCTATCTATCTATCTATCTATCTATCTATCTATCTATCTATCTATCTATCTATCCTCTATGATAAGACTAAATAAAGGGGTTAATTATATTGACTGGCATTCTCTGGTGGGGTGTTAGTGTCTTTTTCTTTTTCTGGCTGACTTCCTCTTTTTTGTGGCTTTCCAAGAGTCATTTTTATTCCATTAGTGGTTCTTTGGCCTTCTCATTCATCATGATTTCAAAAGTCTTTCCCTGACCTCTTCTGAAAATAATGAAAAGCCATCAGCAGTCAGTGCTGTCTAGAATTCTTGTTGGCCTGCCAGACATTGTGCTTCAGTCTCCTCTTCTTCCAGAAGCCTTTCCTTTATGTTTACGGTTTTCCCTCTTTTCTTGCCAGCACAGCAAACCCCCCTTTTTCTTATGGGAAATTATACTATGTCTTTTGTTCCTGGAGTTTCTATCAGCTAAGAATGATTTGTTTGGCAACACCCCCCCTCTTTCACACACATGCATGGAGGGGGGGGGAGAGGGAAGGAGAGAGAGAATAACAGAAAATTATGAAAATTGCAGATTGTCACATTATAAGTTCAAACATTTTTCATTATGGTTTCTTGTTTAGCCTTCTTTTGGATTATGGATAGATTTACTCTGTCAGGGTACCCAGTTGTGAGTATGGGCTGCTAACCATGTTTGAAGGACATTAGTGGCTCCAATGGGGTTCAAACTAGACACCAATGCTTGAGCTGATATACTTTCAATGTGAAGCAGGAAAATATGGGAAGAGGTTGCATTTTCGGTGGATAGTCCTGCTTCCATTGAAAGCAGTATTTTTTTTTAAGTCATGTCAGCTCAAACATTGCTGTCTAGTTTGAGTCCCACATTTTGGTAGTGGAAAGGGGCAGTAATGTCCCCTCACTATTTAGACTGAGGTAGAGAAGTAAAGATGTGTATCATCAGCATACTGATCATAGTAAACCCTCTGTTGTTGACTCCAACCATCTAGATATTAAATAGGAATTAATATAAAGTGAAATCTTAGGGATGGCTAGACCTTGGTGGTCTTCTAACCCAACCTGCTAACCAGAGCAGAAATTCTCAGACTGGCCCATTAAATTAAATTTCATCAGAATTGCTTCTGAGAAGAAGGAGAGAGTTTGACTGACACTCGTTAATGGCCTGTTTTACACTATGCAATCATCACTCCAGTGGTCTACTGCCTTCCTTACAGATAGACTTTGACTTATGATCACAATTGGGATTGAAACTTCCATCATTAAGTGTTGCTGTTGTTAAGTGTTAAGTGAATCACACCTGATTTTGCTTCCATGATTAACCAGATCATGCAGTTGTTAAGTGAATATAGCTTTCCCCTTTGACTTTGCTTAGAAATCTCTGAGGAAGATTGCAGTGGCAATCCCATGACCCCCAAATGTTGCAACTGTTGTAAATACATGCCAGTTCCAAGTACCTGAATGTTAATTATTGAGAAGGGAAAGCTGCAATGGTTGTAAGTACAAGGCCTGGTCATAAGTCATTGCTTTCAGCACTGCTGTAACTTCAAAAACTTGATAAACAAACCTGGTAAATCAAGCACTACTTATATAGAGAGCCGTGGTGGGGCAATGGTTAGAATGGAGTACTGCAGGCTACTTCTGCTGCTGACTGCTGGCTACAAACAATTTAGTAGTTCCATTCTCGTCGCTGAAAATTGACTAAGCCTTCCATCCTTCCAAGTCAGGAAAATGAGGATCCAGATCAGGGGTGGGATTCAAAAATTTTAACAACCAGTTCTGTGGGCATGGCTTAGTTGGTGGGCATGGCTAGGTGGTCATGTGACTGGTGGACATGGCTTTGTGATCATGTTATTGGCTGGGCGTGGCCAACTCAACATCACTCACATCAAGGCACACATCTCCTTGCCTGGCCTTTCATGACTGTGGGGATGCTGCAACAGTTGTAAGTGTGAAAAATGGTCATAAGTCACTTTTTTCAGTGCCATTGTAACTTTGAATGGTCACTCCACACAAGCAAAGTACCAGCAAAGGAGGGGAAAAAAAACTCCGGGGAAGTTCCTGAGACAGGAAGTCTAGTCCTGCCAAGAATGTAATAAGGGTTAACGAAGAGGCAGTTTCTGTAAGCAATACCAGAATGTTTCCTTCTTGCCTTCTCTGAACTGTTTAGAATGTTAACAACCGGTTCTAATGAATAGGTGCGAACCAGAGGTGGTATTCAGCAGGTTCTAACCAGTTCTGGAGAACCGGTAGTGGAACTTTTGAGTAGTTCAGAGAACCGGCAAATACCTCCTCTGACTGGAGATTTTACAGTATCCTTCCCCTGCCACGCTGACCAAGCCACATCCACAGAACTGGTAGTAAAAAAAAAATGAATCCCAACACTGGTGCAAACTGTTAGAATCCCAACCCTGATCCACATTGTTGCGGGCAATATGCTGACTCTGTAAACAGCTTAGAGAGGGCTGTAAAGCACTATGAAATGGTATATAAATCTAATTGTTGTTGCTATATAGATTTCAGTAATAGTTGTTTAGTTCATCACTGATAAATAATATCAGATAAAGCCATGTATGCCTGCATACATAAAAGAATAAATACCCATTTAATCTTGTTGTAAATACCATATCCTTATTACTATTATTCATTAGTTGTATTAATGACAGATATATTTCAAATTTCTTAGCAGGATTCTGGACTAGATTTTTTAGATTTTAAGTAGGAAAGTTTTTTATTGTTTTGTTTTATTTATTACTTATTTAAAAAGAAACACTTTACTGTATTAAAAATACTTTCATACTCATAATGATTCTGAAAAAACAATGTAGCTATTGAGAATATACAAAGGTTGCTAATTACTATCAATAGAATGGTTTTCTGTTTAAAAACTCTGTTGGTGCAAGTCAACCTGGGAAAGAAATTATTTTACATTTGCCATCACACTTTATTTTTACTACAGTAATCTTACCTTCTGTATTTTTTGTCCTTTATCCATTTGCTAAAATATTTTGCTTGTGTGACCAAAATCTTAAGTTTTGTCATTTTATTTCTCCATCAATGAAAGAGATGATAACCCCTGCTGACCTCAATTACAGAAAAAGATTTGTAAAGTCTTATTCATGTCTGCTGAAATAGATTGTCTTTAATAACAATGCATCTACTTATAAAATTTGCTCTCTCTGTCTCTTTTTATTTTCTTAAAGCTACACACTGACCAAGATAAAGGAGATGGAAATTTAAAATACATATTAACAGGAGATGGAGCTGGCAGCGTATTCATTATAGATGAAAACACAGGAGATATTCATGCAGCAAAAAGGCTGGACAGAGAAGAAAGGTCTCTGTATGTGTTACGTGCCAAGGCTATAGATCGAAATACTGGAAGACAGGTGGAACCAGAATCAGAATTTATCATTAAAATCCATGATATTAATGACAATGAGCCCAAATTTACCAAGAATATTTATACAGCCAATGTTTCTGAAAAGTCTGCAGTTGGTAAGTATAATTTATCATCATGTAAATGTAGAAGAATGTTGAAAGGCAATTGAGAACTAAGTCACTTTTCAGTAGTCAATTGTATTCTAGAGGCTGTTTGGAGAATTCAAAACAGTAATAAATCCTTTCAAATTTATTAGTTGAACTGCTCTAGGTTATCAGCAGTATCTATTTTTTCCACCCTATTGATTACCATATTGTTTTCATTCATAATTAACAGTCAATGGAACTATATCAGGCATTGTATGGTCTTAGGAGTAAGCCACTGAAAGCACTGTTTAATAGAACCATGTTTGTTCATATTCAGTCATGATTATATTTGTTTCACATTCAGATTTTGGAAGCCAGAGTGCAACATTTTCATTTTTTCTTAAAGCTTTCAAACAACTGAACCTAAAGGCCATGTTGGCACAGTGATTAGAATGAAGTACTGCAGGCTAACTCATTGCTCACTCCAGGAGTTTGATCCTAAGTGGCTCAAGGTTGACTCAGCCTTCCATCCTTCCCAGATTGGTAAAATGAGGACCCAGATTGTTGGGGGCAAAAAGCCGACCCTGTAAACCACTTAGAGAGGGCCTGTATAGCACCATGAAGCAGTATATAAAGTACATAAATCTAAGTGCTATTGCTAGGTTTATCCTTTTGAAAAAGCATTTGTTGTAAATCAATGCATTCATTTGTGACGGTAAATACTCTATGTAAATCCAACATCATTGAGTTGTGGCACATGCTGAGAATGATGCACTTGCATAATTTACAAAAATCCCCTTCTATTTCTAAAGTTTGTTTTAATCCTAGTGTATTGTTTTATCCATATTGCTATTAATCAGCCATAGTTAGCCACTACTTTTATTTAAAAGGCTTTGAAAATTAAATTTAAACAGGCAATCCGGATTATAGTTAATGATGGTTAATTCCAAGCAAATGCAACAGAATATATGAATGAAAGAAAATGATAAAGGGAAAAATAAAGAATTTGGATAAGTTTTTTTAAAAAGAGCAGCTTGTACATTGTTCTCTTACATTGTTCTCGTAGTGTTAGTAATGATGCTGGAATTTCCATTGCTAAGTGATTCAGTTGTAAAATGCAATATCACATAGCAGTCTGTCATTGTCTTTGATATTTTTTTTAAAAAAAGCCTGCCTCCACAATCTATGTGGGTAGGTTATAGAACCAAAAAAGTAAATTTAAGGAAAGCCTGTAGGAATGTATCATCTAAATGCACATTACATACTAAGGTCACAAACCCAGGTTAATGAAGGACAGTTATTGTGACAATGTAAGGTTCTATATCAGTGATTCTTAAATTGCTTGATCCTCATTACTCCTTTGCCTGGTCTCAAATAATGTAATTAACTGCCCCCCTCCCCCCAAACAAATCTCTTATATAACTGTCTCCACAGCCCCAAATTGCATCCTCAGCTCAGAAACAAGCAATTACAAATTGTTCTACTACCTTCAATATATGTTCAAATTACAGTTTTAGAATCACTGTTCTATATCAAAATGAACCATGTTATGCATTGATGTGATGACCTGGTACAGACAACAATACCTGGCTTCTCAAACTCATTGAACCACAAGCTCCTCAACCACACAATCCTAATCTAGCTATGTTGAAACCAATATGGAGAATTGTTAACAGTTTTAATAATCCTCATATTATACATCTTCATAATAATTTAAAAGAATAAATATTGTTTTCATAGCATAATCTCTGAAGTCCCTCACTGTCAAAGCTACTTAGAGTTCTTGGATCTTCTTGGATGCTCAGAGGTATACTTGCCATAATGATATAGAGCCATAATGTATCTGTATCTGAAAAAAAAGAACTGACATTCTGTTTGCTTTTAAAACAGAAAAAAATATGCACTGCCAGAATCTTAAACAAATAGCTTGGGTTTCTCTGTTTGCCAGGAAGGGGAATACATCCTTAGGGTATTTCCTAAGGATGAACAATTGGATATGTTTTAGTAACCAAAAAAAATTGTAGATTTGACAGACCCAAGCTCTAGTTTATATCTGAAATGGACTGTGATTAAAGGTCTTACCAATGCAAGCAGGACAGAGCTCCTACTTCTTGGAAGCAAAGGTGGAAACAAAGCAAGGAAAGATTATTTGCAGAAATATTTTTCACAGTTGTTGTTTTTGACAGGAAGAAGGTGTTGGTTGCCTTGATTTTCATGTTCATAAAGAAGTAGCATTGCCATTAAGAAGTATTGAAAGTTCTGCGTATCTTGACAAGAGACTATAGCAGAGGTTCAACCGGTTCACACCGGTTCCAGAGTAGTGGCGATTAGGCATGGGTCGCAGAACCGGTAGTAACTTCTGGCTGGCCACACCCCCGAACCAGTTCCCCGGTCGCTGGTCACTCAGTTGCCCCACCCACCTGATGCTCCCTCACTCTCACAGCTCGCCCGCCCACCGCTTGCCCCGCCCAGTGCTCACCCCGCCCAGTCTCTCCTCCCTTTCTATGTGGCATGCTGGGCCCTCATTGATTGCCTAACCTGACTTCAATGCACCCGAACTGAGCAGCCCTGATCTGCCTGCCCTGCTCACAGGTAAGGCTGCAAATCGCACTAGGCCCTCGCCCACCATTCAAGGCCTTTCCATGCCTCCCCCCGCACCGCCTGGGACCTTTCTGGGTGGGAGGAGGCCAAAGTGGGGTGCCAGTTTGAGGTCAGTCCAGAGGGCGGATTGCAGCGCCAGTGGCAGCACAGCTATGGGAAGCAGCCCAGGAGTTTTTGGTCTCCCTTTTGGCGCACATCCACCACCCTTTCAGCCCCAGAAGAGCAGGGAAAGTGAAGGGAAAGCCATTTGCTTTCCCCCTCCCTTTCGGGGCCCGCCCGCCACCCTCCCAGCCCCAGCAGAGCAGGGAAAGCAAATGGGAAAGTGAAGGGAAAGCCATTCGGTATCCCCCTCCCTTTCGGGTCGCATCCACCACACTACCAGCCCAGCAGAGCAGGGAAAGTGAAGGGAAAGTGAAGGGAAGGCCGTTCGCTTTCCCCCTTCCTTTTGGGGCTCATCCACCACCCTCCCAGCCCCAGCAGAGCAAGGAAAGTGAAGGAAAAGTGAAGGGAAAGGCATTCCCTTCCCACTTCCTTTTAGGGCATGCCCACCACCCTTCCAGGCCCAGCACAGCAGGGAAAGTGAAGGGAGAGTGAAGGGAAAGCCACTTGCTGCCGTCACTGCCCGCCGCCACTGCCGCCCATGTGCTTTGAAAGGGAGGGCAGATGGATGTTTCAGGGCTGCTGCTTTCTTCACTGTCCTGCTGTTCGCTGCTCATAAGTTCTTCCCTGAAAATGTGAGTTTGTGTGAGATAGAGACAAGGAAGGGAAGGAAGGAAGAAAGAAAGGGAGGAAGGGCAAGAAGGAAAGAGGAAGGGAGGAAAGGCAAGAAGGAAAGAGCAAGAAAGGAAGAAAGAGCAAGAAAGAAAGAGGAAGGGAGAGAAAGAACTAAAGAGGAAAAGAGAAAGAGAAAGAAAGAAAAATAGGAAGAAAGAAAGAAAAAAGAGGAAGGGAGGAAGGGCAAGAAGGAAAGAGAAAGAAGAAAGAAAGAAAGAAAGAAAGAAAGAAAGAAAGAAAGAAAGAAAGAAAGAAAGAAAGAAAGAAAGAAAGAAAGAAAGAAAGAAAGAAAGAGGAAAGGGAGAAAGAAAGAGAGAGAAAGAAAAGAAGAAGGGGGGGGAAGAGACTACTCTGTGCTATTATTTTTAATTGTTCCATTATTTATCATATATTAATATTTTGCACTGTCCCTACACCTAAAGTGATTTTACTGCCTTTCTTTTGCCCAGGTATTTTTCAGGGTTTACATGTAAATAGTCCAGAGCATAAATACAGGTGCATTTTACAGAGTTGAAAGGGACCTTGGAGGTATTCTATTCCAACCCCCTGCTCCAGCAGGAAAACTCTGAGGATGCCAAAATCTGAATAGAAGTCCTGGGGAAGGTGTCAGAATAACAGAATAACACTTAGAAGGGACCTTTGCGGGGAACTCAATACCATTTCAGAGAAATGGCTGTCCAGTCTTTTGTTAAAAACTTCCAGTGTTGGAGCACCCAGAACTTCTGGTGGCAAGCAATTCCACTGGTTAATTGTTCCCACTGTCAGGAAGTTTCTCCTTACTTTTAGGTTGCTTCTCTCTCTGTTCAGTTTCCATCTTTCTGGTGCTTTGGTAAATACATTGCCCTCCCCTCTTTCTGGCAGCCCCCTAAAAGCCTATCACCCTCTTGGGCAAAGTATGTGAGCCATTTTCTTCTTTCAGTGGTCCATGAGAGTACATCTATAGTATGCAAGTTAAACAACATTTTTACAGAACTATAGATATGTTGAGGCTGGGTGTGACAAAGAATGGCTGGGAGGGGAGGGCCAAACGAGGCACCCCTTGACGTGAGTGACATTGAGTTGGCCACACCACCCAATCACATGATCACCCAGTCACATGACCAACCTGTCACATGGCCACCAAGCCACACCTACCCAGTCACATGACCCTAAGCCACACCCACCAAATAAGTCACGCCCACAGAACTGGTAGAAATTTTTTTGAATCCTACCACTGGACTATAGCATGGTACAACATGTGATATGTATGCAGAAGGTCCCAGGTTCAGTCCTTGGCAACTCCAAGTATGGCTGGAAAAACCTATTCTTGACAGTTGTTGTTAATAGGCTAATATAAACTAGAATTTGCTTTTGATGTATGGAACCCCTCTATGTTCCCTTGTCTTGTAAGCTTCTAGGAACATCTGGAATTATTGTGTTGTATTGATAGGCAAACATCAAGATAGGGACAGGTTAAAGTCTTGCTCTTTTGGATGAGAGTTAACTGGAAAAGAGATGCAATATAGGTTATAACTAGTCCCCTCTGTCCCTGAGTATTTTATAAATAGCTGAGAAGCCCCTAGCAATAGCTGGAAAATTTGATAGATCCGAGTACATAGCATTTACATGTCAGCAATATCAATAATGGAGATGAGCAATTTCTGATATTGAATGCC